CTTGTAACACAATACTTCCAGGTTATACATGGATGGCGGAACCGGAGAGCGCTGTGTCGCCCGTGGAGGAACCCGTCAGCAAGAAGGATGCCAAGCGGCCGTACAAGAGGAAACACGAACCTAAGAAACTTGCTGAGATACAAAACAAGTACGTACTGCTTTTACTCAAGGACCCACTTTTTCGAATATTTTATTTTTTATTTATAGAAAAATGAAATTGATGTTTGTGGAATTTAAAGTATCTAATCTATGTTTGTTGTTTATGTTTGTTTTCCAGACTGTACGAACCACGCGAGGCGGATTACGATAAAGTTCTGTATCCTAGGGTAACATTCAAGCCGCGTGACTTGATGGCGGAGATGCAAGTGATGTACGAGTTCCTGACGCGCGGCATCGACCGCGAGGACGTGGAGTACTTGCGCCGCGCATACGACGCGCTCCTCGCGGAGGACACGCACGGCTACTGGCTCAACGACACTCACTGGGTCGACCATCCACCCACGGACGTCTGCTACTCGCCGCCCAAGAAGAAGTCCAAGAGACACAACAACATTTATGAGGATTTACAGGTGCGCTTTTTCGACTTATTCAGACGTTTATGTTGCTCAAAAGAACTATTCTCAATCCGAATTTTATTTCACATGAATTTACCGTCTAATTTTATAAAATTAACTAAATATAAGTCATTGAAAGGCTTCACCATTATCAATAACGCCTTATTATTAATAAATAACTTGAAATAAATTGCAGGGTCATTCGAGTGGTTCAGCTCGCACCGAAGGCTACTACAAGATGGACGCGCGACTGAAGGCGAAGTACAAGTACCACCACGGACGGAGCTCCGCGGCCGCCCTGCACGCGCACTCTGACGACAAGAAGGCCTCGAAGATGCAAGGCCTGTCTAGGGAAGCTCGGTCCAACCAGAGGAGACTACTCACCGCTTTTGGTATGTACTCTGATACAACTATATACAATGGGCAGTCAGATCAACCCACTACAATCTAATAATGTTGTCGCGTAGAACCTAACGGGTCACCGGGGCTCCGGCTCGACGTGCAGGAGAAGGAACGGGGTGGTTTTTAGTCAGTAAGAGTCTGACACTCCCTCCCGCCTCACCCAGGCGGCAGCAGTCATTCGATGATTTTCCCCCTTAAAAAAATCGAATAATGTTTCCATTGGATTTTCGATTCTATATTAAAACAATAATGTTGAAAAAACTGTTGGTGTCTGTATGATAAACAAACATCTCATTAAATTTACACTGTAACATAATGTTCTCTCTTTCATCATCAGGTACAGACACAGATTCTGACTTGTTAAAGTTCAATCAGCTCAAGTTCAGGAAGAAACAGCTCAAGTTTGCCAAGTCTGGCATCCACGACTGGGGTTTGTTCGCACAAGTAAGCCATCATTATTTCTCTCCTGCCACAAAATCTTATAAATATTATAAGTTAATACTTGCTTTTGTTAAATATCGTGTAATGTCGATGAGACTATAAAATAAGACTCAAAGCTAAGTCTGTACTTAAGTACAATCCTACATCTTCTACTTGTATTCTCTTCTTTAACTCAGATCGTAAAATAGCCTAATGAATGTTCGTTTGCAGGAGCCGATAGCAGCGGACGAGATGGTGATAGAGTACGTGGGACAGATGGTGCGACCCATAGTGGCCGACGTCAGGGAGGCACAGTACGAGGCCACCGGCATCGGCAGCTCGTACCTGTTCCGAATAGACCTCGACACCATCATCGACGCCACCAAGTGCGGGAACCTCGCCAGGTTCATCAACCACAGCTGCAACGTGAGTATACAACGTACTATTAAATCAAAACTTCATAAAAATTAATAACATACCGGTTTAAAACTTTTGTAACTCTTTCCAGCCGAACTGCTACGCGAAGATTATAACAATAGAGTCTCAGAAGAAAATCGTGATATACTCAAAGCAGCCGATAGGAGTAGACGAGGAGATTACCTACGACTACAAATTCCCTCTAGAGGACGAGAAGATTCCCTGTTTGTGCGGCGCGCCGCAGTGTCGAGGCTTCCTCAACTGAACGCACGCTCACTCTGACACACGCAGTGTCGTTCGAATACTACTAACATATACTCTACTGTCGGACTGTCTCTCAGTGTCCTCGATAAGTCTGAACCTAGCTTGCAACCGTCAACGTGAGCAAGAAATGAATTTAGTTACATTATTAATCGATCTGAAATCTTTCAATGTGTTCATGCTCATTCGTGTGACGGTGAATGGCTGTTAAACAAATTATTTTATGTCGCTGCAATAATATGTTTAAGAAAGGTAATAGATAATCGCAATGTAACATCAACAATGAACTGATAAGTATATATTTAGGCTATACAATCAATTAAATCGTACTTTGTATATGAAGGCGCGATGGCAACGATTGGAATTAATCTTTAGTGTTGTGATTTAGGCAAGGTAAGTAAATAGAATATATTCGATTCTGTCCTTACCTACCTCTCAGTATAGATCTAAACAGATATATTATGACGTGTGTTCAAGCATATTGTTTTCGTTTTCTTCAACCTATCCTATAGTCCTCATATCTTCCATAATGTGTAAGTATGTAATAGTATAACAGACAGAGTTACTGAGTAGCTTCCATTACTGTGTAATACAGTGACATTGACAAACTGCAGCCGCCGCCGCGCTATGCCAGGCGTTGTGACCTTAGTAGTTTTGATATCTGCCTCAAATAATTACAATATTGTCCTTTTTATGTATTTATATAATTATATTATGAGTGCTGTGTGACTCTGAAGTGTTTGTTAATGTATTTAATGTGAAGACCCAGTGAACATATTATGTAATTAATAAATTAGCCGCAGCAATGATTCTTGTATTATATTATGATATTTCGACTGAGTCTAAATGTATGATTCACTAGGCATAGAATGTCTGATGTAGCGAGCTGTATAATTATTTGTGTTGTACATTGTTTACGTGTAAAAAGATCTCTGCTATTACGTCAGATTTGTGTAGTACACTTTTTAAGTACATCATCTTGTTAATAATTTCGAAAGCAATTCGTAACCAAATAATATGGGGTGTTAACCGAGTATTGTTTTCGATAACGTGACTATCAAGTAAACGAATGCGAGTAGTGTTGGTGATGAATATTAACTGAGTAACGAAAGTATTGATGGCTGCTCGCATGAACTTTCCACTTCATATTATGTAAATGTAATAAGATTGTAAATAAAAAATTCCAACAATTTTAAGGTACTAGTTTTATTAACTAAATGAAATTAACACCCCGTAGATCTTCACCCAAGGCGGGAGAAGCTATTGAACGATTTTCCTCCCTCAAAAAAAAATAATCTGTTAGTGGGACAGGTGTGTGGTGTAGTCTTCAACGTGCAAAACATGCAAATCCTTCAAAATCTCAAAATACAGAGGTCCTAGCTAAAAATAGCTAAATTTTCTTACACCAGCAGCTGTAGCCAAATGCCACTTAGCGCTTGTCTACATGTAGAATAGAAAACCAAATTATATGGAATTGACGTAAAATTTTGACACTTCTCAGTGTCATCCCCATACATTTAGATTTCTACTCTGTAGACAAGCGCTAAAGAGGCGTTTGGCTAAAGGCCCTATAGGAACATAGATAACCTCAGGTGTCTCCCCATGGGGGCAAGCAGAAACTGGAACGGATTGCTACGATTCTACATTTGTAAAGGTGGGTTTAAACGGCGCGCAAACACGCGAGCCGAGCCTGGCTCCGCTCGTGGTTCGCCGCGCCACGCGCTGTGTAAACAACTGCGCTCGGGGCGGCTCGGCAAAGTTTGCACGATCCATCTGTTACAACTTTAGAGGATGTAATGGTGCCAATCAAAGTAAAAAACTCCGAAAATTAACGAAATCAGATTTAATACATTAATTAGATGTTACACGTATAATGGTGTTCTGGCAAGTGAAGGATGACATTAGAATTCTCTACTACGTGCCGAGCGCCTATGCAAATTTTATTAATTATGGTTTTTACAACTATTTGCTCTCTCAATTAGAACAGGCGTTTACGCCTGAACACCATCACTTGTCGGTTTTTTCGACACAGATCAAAGGCGCGCGCGCCTTATACAATGACACTATTCACCATCGTCTTTTTCGTCTTTCTTTTGTTTTCAAATATTCACCACAGAGCAAAATAATAGCAGCTGCTGCAGCAAGGCGTTTTCTTTTATCCATATTGAAGAACGAACAAGCGGACAGCTCGGTTCAACAGCGCGATGTGTAGCGGCGTTGCCACGGACGGCTCGGCTGGCGTAGGATCGTGCTACCCCGCGTCGTTTAAACGAGCAGGCTTGCGTCCGTATTTAGCCGAGCCGCATCTGCACGGACAGCTCGGCTCGCGTAGGATCGGGCTAGCCCGCGTCGTTTAATCGCGTCTTAAACCGATTACCCGTACCAGTGTACGCGCTATCCGTATGCACACGCATCTTTACATACCTCTTTCGCTTTATCAAGTCATCATTCTATTCATGCATGCTCGTCAGTTAAGATAGTATTAATTTAGCTCCTGTAGACATTTTTTATTTGAAGGACAGGGTGGAAATGACCTTGGACCAGCTTGGGCCCCAAAGACTATAATAAATATAGGGGAATTGGGCCCACAAGGCTACATCACAAAATGTCAAGTTTGACTGAGTACCTATTTTTTTATAGAATTCATTGTTGAGGATTGGAAGACGTTGCAACTGTATGTCACTTGCGAATCTGTCAATATCTCGAGGACAGGGAAAATACTTCTTGAGCCTAACGTACGTACATATATAATTTGTCTGAAGATTTTATACAATAAATAGCCCCGTAGTATTAAATTAACTCGAATCTTGTTGCTGCAAGAATAGTAGCTAAGGTTCAGTTAGGTTAGAACTGCGATCCCAAAAGTCGAATTAAAATCAAACTTGTCGCATTATATTGATATTTTCTTAAAAACAGGTAAATCATGCAAAATAAAATACAAAGAAATACATTACAAAAATATATATTTTAACATGTCAAAGAACGTAAACAAAGATCACTTACATTAAAACTATTCTAAACAGAAATCAAGTCAGTTTATAAAATCACAGTAAAAATAAGTAGACAATCCAGTAGTTATTATAAAATACATTTCCATACTTATTATAAACCCATACAAAACATCCACATTCAGCTACATCAACCACCTAACGGAGCTGATACTCTTCTATTTCCAACAAGTTGTTACCGTTTGCTTGCTATCTAGATCTACTAGAAAGATGTAGCAACAATTTATATTCTCTTCATGACGGAGAATTAAGTGTTTAAATCTAGTTTAAACTGTCAAACACCGCGCGGTCACCGGTGACCGCAACCTATCGTTCTTTAATTGTGTCTATAATGACGGTACTCAACGAGTTAAGTCATAAGTACATAATAAATCGAATATAAAGGTAACTTAAATTCTAGGAGTTCCAATATTCACAATACGTAGTTTAGTTGGTGTAAAAGAGAATCAGCACCCTGTATCTTACCGTACAAATCAATTTAAATTACGTAATAAATAAAATGTACATACTATCAGTACGACATAATTAATATGCTAATACGGTTATCGCTCCAAAGTAAAACTAAGCTGCTAAGGCATGGTATAAATAATATTACCTATCAAACTTATTAACGCCTAACAATACGAAATACTACTAAAATTACAAACATTAGATCTACTAATCTGACTACTCCCCTGCACTGGAACGTCGTATCACTCAGGTACTAGAAATGTCCTCTGTATCATACAAGTAACATATTATATAGCTAATATACGACTGTATAATCAGACTCACTACTCTCTGAAGCTAGACAGCACTGGCAATATATAGTTATGACTGGAATCGTACTTGTCTCGTGAACATTTCAGCGCACAAGTCCGCCGGCCCTTTCGGGGAGTCTGACTTTGCCTCGCTGTTTTCTGATTCTGTGTCAGAGTCAAATTCTGAAATAGTGGCAGGAGATTTCCTTCCATTCGTTGTACGTTTTAGATCGACCTCCGTTGTCAATATTTCTTTGATGACGTCATCGGGTGTTTGCTCCTTACGATGCTTGTTCCGTAGTTGTCGCGCTCGTTTTCTGATGTCAGCGAGGAAGCCCGTGGTGACCTCGACGCTCTCCTGCGACACGTCCTGCGGCGTGCCGTCGGTCAGCGACTGCGCCAGGTCCGTGGTGGAGCCGCGCGTGTCCGATATACTGGCTAGAGACTCCACGGACGCCCCGACACTCCTGAACGCAGTCATACCCTCTATAATAGAGACGTTGTACCCGTTATCTGATTTGGAGCGTATTATTATACCGTTGGGTGCAGTGCCTAGCAACACGGGCTCCTTTAGTTTCAATGTGAATATTTCAGGCAAGTAACAGTCGGACGCCGTCGAGGCAAGAGAGGCGGTATCACAAGTGCACGGCGGCGTCCTGTACGCGTCGTCGTTCAAGTACACTATAGTCACTTTGTCATCTCCTATCACATACAGGAAGGGGTTCACAAACTCCCAGCTGTACACGGCTGTGCTCCACTTGGGATCTTCATTACGAGTTCGCTTTCCATTCTCGTCGACGAACACTCCACACTCTGCATAGCAGAGGAGGATCTCAGTAGGTTTCTCTTTGATGAGTAAGAACGCTTTCGGAGGAGAATGTTTCTTAGCGGCGGCGGCGATAGTGGGTTCGTCCATACCGAAGGCCTCCAGGGCACCGGATGGTAGGTTCAGTTTGAGCGGCTTTTCTCCCGCGATGTACAAAGTCTTGGTAGTAAGTAGCAAGGAGTTGGCCGGCCGGTCTACAGTCAGGGAGCGAGCGATCTTGAACTCGGAGGAGGCGGCCTCGTACCGGAGCAAGAACACGCGCCGACCGCACGCTACCGCTGCGCACGGACCTTCGATGGAATCGTTGTTGATGCCCTGCAAACAAAGTATACATTTTATTTAATAAATCAGAGAACACAACAAGTTTGGATATTAAAATTTAGTTTGATAACATTTGATTAGTTAAAGGTGACTATGCCGTGTAGAAGTATATGAGAGAGGCGACCTTGAGTAGATGCGGCGGCGCGGAGTCCGGCAGCGGCACGGGCGTGGCGGGCAGCGCGGCGCGCAGGTCGGGCGCGCGGCGCAGCGCCGAGCCCA